GGTCAAGCTAAGACCTGGCATGAGGGTATGAAAACCCTAACCAGAAGTCTGGGTCACACAGGTCCCGTTAGGCTCCCTGGATGGGGACCTCGGGATGATCGTACCCGATGGTTAGCTACACTGAGTGATATGGCTGAGNATCTTCTCAATTTCTCTGTATCATTAATCCACTGAACTTTTCAATTTTCTCTTCGATCCTACTTTCAACCTCTCCTGTCTTTCTCCTAATGTTCATACAAATGGGTAGCCGAACGATAGCAACCAAAACCGGCGCACGGTAGTGCATGGTTAGTGGTTGTGCAAACTGAAACTGAAACTTTGTACGCTGTACAGTTTCCCCCAATATTCTTTCGCTTTGTTTGTTGGTTGGGTGAAGATGAGTGTGTGGGTGAGGTGGGTGGAACACGGCCTTTGAAAGCATTTTTTCCAACACATTCTTGCCATTCTTCTTCCGTTTCCTAAGCTGTTTCTAATCGATCAGTTATCATCCCCGGAACCTCAGCTGAGGAGTCCGAACGGACCTAATAGAACTATTACTATCGTAAACTTCTTTAGGTTCCTACGTCCATATGTTATCGCTTATACGTGTTCTAGTGTAAGGTTGTCACACGTCAATTCATATCGAATCACATTGGTTACGTGCTTCAAATCTGGCGGTATCATGGTTCTTCACGCGAGATACTACTGAGTAAACTTGATGATGCTACGTCCGGGAATAAGAGAAAATGATTCAGCTCCTATTCATCCATTCATCCGTCTTCTTACCTGTCCGTCTCGGGAAGTCCTATCAATTGTGTTGGTGGCGTAGCGGTGTAGTCGGTGTCACCGACTTGCTTGGGACCCTATCGTCCGAGGTTTCAAGCCCCGCCACCGTCACCCAACTTTAGTGGTTGTCAACTTTGCTGTCGTCCGGTTCAATTCCACGCCTAACCTAACGGGGCGTCGTGTGGTTCGCCAGTCCAAGTCTCGGGGCTTAGGTTACCGGTTTTCCATCATTAAACAGCAGGTCCTCCACAGGCTCGTTTGATCGCTTCCTATGATTGATATATGAGAAATTAAAGCATTATTTATCTGTCTTTATTGATCAATTCGATAAGAGGTATGTAGTACTTCAACATGTTTACTACCTACCACGAACATTGCACTCTGAAGGCCAAACCAAATTTGAAGTGATAGCCGCTATTCGTAACTCAAACAACCAATGTTGTATTGGTTGGTTCTCAGATCAAGCATCTCCCGTTCCGGATCTTCATTTGTCAAAACTTAAAGCTCCATGGCAACTATGTACTTATGCAATGCATTACTGTCCTAATAACATACTACAGTTATTGGTTTTCCGGGTTTGAGATTGTGAAATCTTCAGTAGTCTTTGATCAATTGCTCCATGCAAACGTTTCGTCTTCGAGAGTGCAGCACATATCCTCGTGCCACTTGGTGTGTCTTGAAACTCGTATCCAGTGTATGCTGCGACCGATTGATCTCTGCTGCCGTAGAGAATCAACACACTATTGGTGTTCGAACAGTATTGTATTTCAAAAACGTCTGAATCCAGACGATGTGCCAAACAAATCATGGTACAATAATCTTCATAAAAAAGAGAGAGAAAGTTCCACGATTTGTTTGTGGGTGGAATACTGCCGATTTGCCCAGGCCAAAACAGGTGAATTTTCTTAGACAGTTCGCATCCGGAGCGTTCGACTAGCCAAAGCCTGACTCGCAAGGCAGCGGGGCGCTGTGCGTAAACCGCAATCCATTGCGGGGCCAGTATCCATCCAACACATCAGATCATACACCCTTTAGACGGGATCAAAGGTCCAATGTGCTCAATACACCTCGATACCCAGTCAGGCCGATGACCGTGTCCACAACCTCAAAATGTGTTGTCTATTTCGCACTGGGTCTAGCAAATTTATTGCAGCGCCTTAAGTAGTTGCTGTCTTGCTTTTTTCCAAATGTTGAAATAGATTACTTGTGTCACTTCCCTGTCTCGCGAGTTTTACTGAGGCTGTTAGTATTTGGAGGAAGATCAAGTAATGATGAAACTACGATTTGGGTCAAGGAAACTATAGATCTTGTAGTTCGTATTAGACTTCCTGTTTTGATGACCTTGTCAACAACCCAGGCAATTGTTAGAAATACTAAGTTATATGGCTTAGTTCGTAGATAGCGGAGCTCCTGTGTTTGATCCCGTTTCACACAAATCGAGTTCATTTACTTTCTGATAATACCTTTCGCTTTCAGCTCTATCCTGTACTCCATCCTCATTGGTTGACCGAATGCATAATTGAGAAGAAGAAAGGGGCATGACATCAGTTTACAAAACAGTTCCTATTTAACGATTTTTTCAACTGTACTGAAATCCATACCCGTTATTTTTATTCATAGGATGTAGTCACGCCGGACAATTCGTTTATCCTCCTCTACGGGCGATTCCGTTCACAAGGCCCGAAAATTCGAGCCCTTATCAGCCTAGTCGAGGAGCGGATCGATGTGGCCGAAGAGTAAGTCGATAGCCCCCCCCGTCGGAAAACTGACCTGTTACTGGTATCGTGGTTTAGTCCGTGTCGACGTGAATCGTCGGCCAATTTCTAATACTTGCACACCCGAAACGTGATTATTAAATTAATGCGAATCTGTTTGAATGCATTGTTCACCTCCGCCGCTGCCCCCCCCATCGAACAGATATGGGAAAGCGCTTCGTGATTGTCACAATTTCTATCTACAACGTCGAGAAGAACTTCTCACTCCGGTCGCTCGAAGTGGAATTGGTGAACTGGTCGAGAAGTATCAGAACGATCATTGCTCATTGCTTCGAACCGGTGGTGCATTTATGGTCCACATGTGCGAGGATGAAACACGTCTGTTCAGCCAGTTTTTCGCACCGCAACTATCAAACTCTCTGAAGTGAGTATATACCCCCCTCCCCCCTCTCTGTCTGTTTGTCTCTCGTGAGGTTTTTGTTCAGCGAGAGAAATACGCATCCCCGTCGGAGTCCAGATTACCAGTTCCTCGGTGGCAACAGTAGTAATTAGTTCGTGAATTCCCTTTTATCATCTTTGACCGTGACTCTGTGTATGTCTGTGTTTTCCTACGTGTATGGTGATCGCAACCAGAAAGCTCAACATTGAACGGTTTCAAATAACCATGTGACACTGGATCCCGAGTCAATCTATGGTTCCACCAAGGAAAGAAGCAGGATGAGGGCAAGGATTCAGTGCAAGATCTCCAACTCCCGGGGGTTGATCGGGCGGCCATGATTTTATCCCTTGTTATCTCAAGATACAGGTGTAAACGCGTTGCGGCGATAAGCACCACATAACAGTTATCCGCACGAAACATCTTGAATCTGGAATGTGAATTTCATTACGGAAATGTGTTTCAGTGTATCCAATCTACATGTATTTCAAGTGTATCCAGACAACTATGATAATGCATAGTTAATGGTTGTATAGACAAACTGAAACTCTACCCACATTGACTGATTTTTACCACCCGATTTGGCCCACGGTATCACAGAAGTATGCAAACCACTAACACATCGCCTCCTAATGCACTATCATATCTTCTTGAATTTATCTACTGTGAATAAGGATGAAGAAGCTGTTTAACCACGCGCCTACAGATCCAATCCGGACTGTTTTGACATTTGAGCGCGTTTTAACTTTCACACTCCTGACATGCTCGTTATTCTCTGCTTTTATTCTCCCACTTACGATATTTTTTGTTTCTCGCCTCTCCACATCCATTAGTCAAATGTTGACCAATTTGTGTCGTTGCATGTACGACGCATTCCGTCCACTGATCATCCGTATTAGTCACGTGGAAATTCTATCCGAGCTTTGTGACATTCTCAAATATGAGCTGACTGAGGAGCATTTGACGGAGAAAGGTAAGCTATCTAATATCTGAGACAAACATGTTATCTGTTGTGTGAATAAAAAGATTTAAAAACAGAAAATGAGAAGAATATGATGCATTACAATGCCTCCTGATTCATGATCGCAATCACACACATTGTCGATGTTGCGTGAAACTTGAAAACGACGAATAGCACAATTAAATTACTGGTCAGAATGCATTTCTCAGTTTACTCATGAGTAGTGAAAGTAGCGATTCAAAATTAGGTGATTTTCACTTCGATTTGCAGACAAGTGCTGCACTGCAACCCCAGCAACGTCGTCTCTCAGTTATCTGTGGACAAACGAAAATGATCATTCAAGGAAATAAGCTCCTCGCCTTTGTCATTGATCAATCTGTCCTTGTCGATAGATTCATGGGTACTCAAAAAAGGACCGCACGGATTTTGACCTTGAGCCGTTGGTCCGACACAGTGAGTCTTAGTGGGAACTATCGGTAGTCTAGACATCACAATCAGACTGAAATTTTAGCGTGAACTAGTACATGCGTGGCCTAGTGGAAATCACCGTCCGTCGGTCCGATGCCACCTTATCCATCTAAAGTCGCAAGATTTGCGTTTCCAGTTTTCATCAGTAAACAGGACGTCCTGATCACGGCGCTCACTCGTTCACCGTAATGGTGAATTGTGTAAAAGGCTTCTTGACTACCATTCACAACACATGTGAAATTGGTGTGGGCGTTGTCCGTTTTACCATCAGCGGATCGTTTGCTACAGAACCACCACTATCTTCGGGGTTTTTTCTGCCTCATTTGCATAAATTTTTACGTTGATTGTCTAAGCAACTGTTGTGCGATTGCAGTGATCTCCAAATTCGTCAAAAACACCCCCATGAATTCGTGAATTCTATCAAACAGAACAAGTGTGAAGCTACTGCATGTGTTGAGAGAACAATAAGGAATAAAGCTAAAAGGACTTTCGGAAAAATCCGAGGAAGCATCGTGCCGATTGGAGAGTAGCTCTGCGGAGAGAAATCATTTCCCACTTGTGTGTTCCCATCATCCTCAGTCGTAAGATAAGATCCCTAGTCAGAAATAGGACCAAACTCACTAAATTAGCCAAACTACGGGAAAAATCTCAGCTTGGTATGATCATGCCTCGAGAAAGCTGGTTTCACAACGGAATTGATGATAAAATAGTACACCTGAATGGTTTCGTTGGCTATCTTGTCGATGTTGTTGAGTCATCCCATTTGTCAAAAATCAGTGGTGACAGTCTTTTTTATTACACACTTAGGTGTGATGAACAGCAAACGAGGTGAGCCCCACAGTCACGAGGATCCACTGTTCGGTGACGGAAACCGGAAACCTCAACCCCGGGACTTGGAGTGGCGAACCACACAAGGCCCCGATAGATTAGGCGTAGTATTGAACCGGACAACAGCAGAGCTTCCTACCACCAAAGTCGGGGCTCAAACTTCAACGATAGGGTTCGAAGCACGCCGGTGACAGTGATTAAACCACTGCCCCATATGACCAAACACATGTTTTCTTATTCTAAATTTCACATACATGTTTCTGTATTGCGACGTAATTTAAGGTTATCTCGGTCATTTATTCTCGTGAACGTATATATTGCCCCCCCCCTTACTTATATGATGTTCTTAATGATTTCCGCACACCCTTTTCCACCAAGTTGATTGGATATGTTGTCAAATTGGCCATGCCAATATGTCAAGTCACCTTTTTTCTCATTGTTTGGTTCCAATGACCATTTGTTCTCGTTCGACATGTTCGCCACCGATAATTCAACTACATGTATTTACATATGTAAGATACGTCCGGTGTCTAAGCCGAGGTTGAGTGACGCACTGTGTTCGGTGTTAAGGGTACTGATGCAGTGTTTCATTTCGGGTTAAGATTGCGCCGGATAAACAGTGTCGGTCGCTACACCCATTGATTGTGTTTGTTCGAACCCCAAACGTCGCCATCGAAGTTTCGTATTTTCTTTAAATCACACGGAAATCTCGCCTAGAATTGACTTGTATGAAAAAATGAAAGCGGAATTCATTTACCCGTTCACTTTTCTGTCACAAGACTAGCGGTTCACACCTCTATTCAGTGATCAGCCTTTTTGAACTTGTCAAAGCTTTAACGTTCATTGTCTATACGTCCCTTCAGAATTTTGCTTTTCCTCACAATTTGATTCGGGTAAGTTGTAATTTATGATTTTCTTGCATGGGCTCAATGACAGAAAACCAATGGTCTATTTAGATCCATGCATTTTTAGCCAATCAGATTCACAAATAGAGCATCAGTATGTACCTGGTTGTTATTCAATTAGTCCCTTTCACCGAGGTCAGGTGTCCGGACGACCGCATTTTGGTGGGCGCCCTGACGACGTCTTCCGAACTAGATGCCACCACGGTACCCCCGGCCTTGATTACTTCTGAATTTTCCTCGGGCTGAAAGTGGCGGCCGTCCAGGCAACTAAAGGCTCCAGGCGCGAACCGCCGAAAGAACGCCTATGATGTTGACGGAGGAGAGAAAGAGGGAACACCTCTGGTCAGATTCCTGTTGGCGAACCGTCAGGGACACATATTTCTAGTGGGGAAAACCGAATCATCGGTGAAAGGATCCGCATAACAGATAAAGTGAATATTCTGTGAGTAAAAAAGGCAATTCTGGTTGCACTCTTCTCCTCGAACAAGGAAATGATGGGAGCGCTCGATCGCGATATAGTCCAGGTCCATCTGGATGTGGGTGATCGGGCGGAATTCTGTTCGATCGACGGGGGTGTGGCGGTGTATCGGATGAAACTCCATTCAAGAGAAGCATGAGATACGTCTGTAAAGATATTTGGTGTGTTCAGATCGAAGATAGATGGGGTGACACAACACTATTCGCAAGTAACTGAGTTAAACACGAACAACCTATAAAAGACATCTGTCAGTAAGCGCCAGGGACTCAATAACGCAATACGTCACCAGTGTTCCTTATAAAGTGGGTAGTGGTAGATGGTAATTTTCCATAAAGTATATCTATTTGTAATAGCCTAGACTGTTTCCATTGGATTTCTTCAAGAATGGAGAACGGGAGTTCACAAAAATCCTCAATTCTATCTTGTTCAGAGAAGTTTAGATATCGGTCGTTACGTAGGTTTGAAAAAAGGAGAACAAATCATTCAACATGTAGCTGGACATCTGCACTGGCAGAACTTTGCTTCATAAGCAGAATAGTTGTGCAATTCACTTCCTTTTGTTGAAGCATTGAAACACTGCGTTTCCGTGGATTATAAACGAAACTACATAAGTAACGTTTAGCCNAGCCACACATTACGAGTCAGGGTTAAGACAAATTTGGACAAACTCATCCCTGTCTCTTTTGTTTTCGCACATGCATACCCCGATATCTGTGGTTGTCATCCACGTCCTCCTCCTCCTCCTCCCCCTTTGGCTGATCGTCCGGGGTTCTAACTTGTGTGTGATCCATTCACATTCAATTTTGTTTCAGACATAGACATGACCGCGTTCACCGAACTGTGTGCTATGCTGTTGTCTGACATTCAGGATCGTCTGATTTTTCGCGCGCACATCTACATCAAAACACAAATTTTGGGCTACGAACCAAGTCCGGGCGATTTGTCCTATCCGGAGAAATTGGAAATGATGCATGTGAGTGTCCTCTCACATCAGTTTGATGAACGTGTTTGCTTACCTGCTGCGTCAATCGCGTCAATCTCCGTGCCCTGTCTGTTATCTATCTCTGTTCCTGTGTATAACCACCCTTCGAAATGTGGCCAAGTTTTCATTGTTCTCCTTTCCATTTTAGTGGCAGAGAAAATTGTTTGGCATTTCGTTCTTTGATGAATGCGGTGGATTGTTACCACATTTCACCTATCCTTACGTGATCCGCTCACAGATCGATCATCTTGATGTGTGTCCGGCTTCTAGTCTTAAAGTCTAGATTATCCAGAGTACCGTGAAATGGTGCAAATATTATGACCTGATGGCATGTACTGAAAGCAATGTATGAAATATGCTACCATACTGACAACGAGGAGATGCATGGAAGCTGATTTAGTATCTGAGATTTTGTGCTTGATTCTACCAGTCTCGGACACATTCGAGAGCGCTATCAGGGATGTTTTCTCAATCATATATACAACACGAGTCTTAAGCAAATCTAAATTACTTTGTCCTTGTAGTTGATCAATCCACGCATCATCAGTCTATTATTCCCCAGTGAGAAACAAGCAGTAGGCAGTGATCAGCCATTCCATCAACATCGCATATGCACTGAATACATACGGGAATCAGAACTCGAGCAGGAATTACTAACCCCAACTACCGGGACTGGTTGCGAGTGCTCCTTCGTCACTGGCGTTGGCCGTAACGTTCTCCAGCACGCACCCTGCACTCGATTCCCTGCTGCACAATATGTCAGCAAGAAAAATTACTCCTCCCCGCGCGCTGCTCAGTGGTTGCGGATTTGTTTGGAGAAGATTCGATTTTTTATCAAAGTGGGACACGTCCTCTATGCATGATGACTTTGCATTTCTCAACAATCAGAAACTTGGGGCGCTCGTAAAAGGGACACATCAGGGATTTTCGTGGTTCTACTCGCAACTCATTGTTGTACAAGCACATGGAATGAGATCATATTCACGAAATGGCATAATTTAAGGATACCGAGGATTTGACGAGAATGTGAGAGAGAAAACGACTCAAGTCACATGATGAACTTCAGTGTGATCAACAGGAGCAGCAACAGTGGTCAATCAATCACCTTGATCGGTAACCGAAGCGTGTCCGACCCACCGAATCTGTTGAAACTGAAGCCATTCAACTGTAGTTCTGAGAAAACCTTTCTATTCAGCTTGTGTTGAGAAGACGATAAGCGATCTGTCGTTACAGTCATTGAAGATTCACAAACCAAATTATAATAAATCAACTGAAGTCGAAGCGTACTCAGCATTCTGATCAATATGCCGATTGTGAAATGTATACTAGCTCACTGAATAGCATCCGTATGTACATATATATTTACACACGTCTGAATCCAGACCGTGCGCCACACAAATCATAGTACAATAATCTTTATGAAACAACAAAATGTTCCATAATTTGTACGTGGGCGGAATACCGCCAAGTTGCCCAGTTGCAGGTGAATTTTCTTGAGGAATCCACAACCCAAGTCTTTGGTTGGCCAAAGCCTGACTCGCAAGGCAGCGGGGTGGTGTGTGAAAACCGCAATCCATCGGGGGAGGTGTCCAGTTCATCGGACCATACGCCCATTGGACGGGGCCAAACATCCAAGTTGCCCAATACCCCTCGATGCCTAATCGAGCTGGTGACCACTGTCACAACCAGAAAGTTGTGTGTGGTTCGCACACCTCCTCAGGGTTGGTTTGGAATCAGGGTTTTTGGTCAACTCCCCTTAGTGAACTACTAGTTGTCCACCAACCCGGATGTCGGATTTTCGTCCTCTCATTTTGATGGGAAAACACCGCCACGAGTAGACAGTGAGTAGGGCTTCCTCAGCAGAGTCTAGCATCCGGGATTCGGTTGACAAAACCTATTTATGTCTGGACGCCTAGTAGTCCTTCTATCTCTCTGCCTCAGCACCCATTGGTTGCACATTTCTCATCCTTTGTTCGACAACCGTTCATGCGTCAGCCCTCACCAAGTTGCAACCACGTGCATAGGTCTGAATATCGGGGCCAGACGCATTCCACCTGCGCAATATCTGGTTTATTGTGTGCCTTCATTGGTTATCCGAACAGAGGTTATTTTATTGGTGTAACCATAAATGCCTTACAGCGAACACTGATTCGAATCGTGGTCGACCGACCAATCGTTTCGATTGAAGCAACCAGATGTACTAATATTAAAAAAAAAAAACGGTGAAGTTATTCTGCAGTCAATTTTTTTAAGATGACAGGCTTGTGTTTCGCATCACCTAATCACGAACATAGGGAATCATATGCTTCACTCAATCACGTAGTTCTTTGTTGTGTGCTTGTTTTTTTTTCAATTTCATCCGGGGCTGATCATTTTGACCAAACGGTAGTAAATTTGTAATTGCATGTTCAATTTCAACTCATTAGTTAAACGCTATCAGCCACCAGCACCACCTTTTCTTTTGATTTTTCCCGATCAGCTTACAGTTGGAGAATTTTCGATTGCTGTTCGCCATGTCGTACACTGTTTTTTTCGTTTTCATTATATTTGTGTGTTCTATTCTGCGTCCCCCTTCTTTGTTTAATCCTCAAGGATATCGCCAAGGCAACCGCGCAGCGAACCGCCGCCTCGACAACCACAACAGAACAAACTGATTCAAGCACATCAGAGGCACCCGACCCCGACTCAGCAGCCGCAGTAGATGGAACCAGTCCTGGGTTGACGGTGGTCACATCCGCGTCAGGGACTGGAGCGTCGGTTGATTTGGCTATTCAACCGGGACCCAATATGTCTCTCGCTCCAGCTGATCTGCNCACGGGATGTGGTATCCAACTGTGCGACGGACACTGGTCTTTCTATCGAAATTAAGTCGATGCCTAAGTGTAAGTGTACTCCGAAACATTTTCACCACAGATGTGGGGACATTTTCTTTCATAGTTCGCACGAATTCACCTACACCCAACTCACTGCCGTCGGCCGTGTTGTAAGCAGGGCCAAAGTTGTTTCGACTACCCGCCGACAGGTCCCGCCAGGGGGACACAAACGGCTTGCACTACTGACTAGCAAAGTCATTGACAAACAACAATCCGTGGGTTAATTGCCACAGATTAAAATGAATTTGTGCATATAGATGGGCAGGGACATCCCAAGTTTCGAGCTCTGTGATGGCAATCCATATGAGGTTACAGCAGAGATCACTGGTGTCACATCACTTTGAGCTCTCGGAGAGCTTGCACCAAAAACCATTCTTATACATGCATGCCATGGTTTTGGATTCCCCCGTTAGAAAACAAATGAATCAAGTCAGAATGTATTGCAAGTGAAGAGTTTAGGATTCGCTCTGCTGATGAGACTCAATAGGATCGAAACGACAATCCAGTGGCTTCTAGTTTTTCAGTGCACATCTCCTTTACTCGTTACACGATACGGTTAGTCAATGCATTGTTGGTGTGGGGCTCATTGAATTCGGCCGTGCTGTGTTGGATACTTTCACTCATTAGGGAGTACTGTTACAATAAACTGTTTTACAGCCCATAGGATCAAATGCACTCCAAAAGTTTGATGTTATCTATTACCGCACAAAGCCAAAAGTCAAGCGGGTCTTGTAAACATCACACTTTTGGTCCCAAAGGTGGGGA